TGCTTCTTGTGGTAGTTAAATTGTGTGTCAACTTGGCTGGGCCTGGTTGAGTGGCTGGGCGGCTGGATGTAGTTATTCCCTGTGATAAGACTGGTAATCAGCTTCATGGTAGAATCTACTGGAGCAGCTGAATAGCTGCCTTAGGGATGTGGTCAGCTTCTAGTATATGAGAAGAAACACTAAGAAAAGTCTCTGAGCTTTTTGGCATGCTTGGACCCTGAATGTAGCTGAGTCTTCATTCAGCAGCCTGCCATGTTTCCTGCCTGTGTTGGGACTGTCTCTGGATTGGAATTAGTGGCCTGCCATGTGGCTTGGTAATCTTGGGACTGTGCCATTTTATTTGTCACCCTTGGATTTGTCAGCCTCAGCAGCCAGCAGTTGGTGGCTGCTGAGGCTGGACCAGGAGCAAGAAGCAGAGCTGAAGCCCAATGTCAAGGGGTCTTCACCCAGCCCCTAGAGCTTGGCACTTTGAACTCGGACTTCTAGCCTCCAAAACTGTGAGAGAAGAATCTTCTGGTTGTTAAAGCCACCCATTTGTGGTATTTTATGCTAGAGCAGTGCAAGAGGGCCAAAACACTCCTCTTCCTCTATCTAATTCTTTTGGCACCAAAGAACACATTTATATTACAGTATAACATTTGGCCTTGTACTTTTATGTCACAATGCCAGATGAGTTTTCTGGAAATTACTCCTAAACCAGAATAGTTAGTGATAACTTAACTGTACATGAAACTGACTGCAAATCTATAAATATGTCCCACTAAACCAAAATTAAATGTATCTCTAACTCAACTTCTCCTTTACTAGATATTAAAATAACTACAGTTACATCAACACTAAAAGAGGGGATGTAGAAATGGAAACACAGTGGTCTCAATCAGCTATAGTTAAAATAGTTTCTTCTTACCAAAATGTATGATCACAAGGACTTACTGCTAGGGCTTCTCTCAAAGCCTTGGAAGGGCATGTGCAAGAGGAAGACCTGGGTCTACGCATCATTACTTCACACTAAACCCATCTCAGCTGGCACATGATAAGTATTATGTTAATTAACTATTAACCTAAGGCATTTGACTATTAACCAGAAGGTGGTGGTTCAAACCCACCAGCCACTCTTCAGAAGGAAGATTAGGCAATCTACTTGCATAGAGATACCGCCTCTGAAACCCAAGGAAGGGTCGCTATGAGTTGAATTGACTGAACGGCAGTGAGTTTATTTTTTTTTTGAGTATTATTATTGGTTCCATTTTCTGACAGGTGTCTTTATATGGTGGCAAGATGGCTACATTCAACAGCTCCAGCTTCATATCTCATTCAGCAGGAAAGATCTCTTCCAGAAGTTCAGGTACCAGGATTTACTTTTCCTGGACCGAGTTGGGTCAAGTGTCTAACGAACCTATCACCATGGCCAGAGGGATTCCATGCACTGATTAGTCAAATGCTAAACATGCATTTTTTTTTCTTTTAATTGTGACTTGGGTGAAAGGATACAGAGCAAATTCTTTTTTTTTTTTTTTGTTTCATGACATTGACTGCAACTTCCCACAATGTACAGCTCTCTTCCTTCTTCCTCCCTATAGTTACCTCTTCCCTGTGACCTTTCCTATGTTTTCCTGCCCCCTGAGCTATCACCCTATGCAAATACTGCTTTTCTGTTCTCCCATGACTGATTGTTCTACGGAATGTATCTACCTTAATGTAAATGTTCACTGTATATGACTGTCTATTTAAACATGCATTTTTGCAGCTGGAGGTGGTATCAATACCACCTAAACCATGGCAATGGAGAGTGGGAAAGGGATGGTTCCCCAGAGGAAATTTGGGCTGTATTTTTACCAGAAGAAAAGTAAAGGAGGTATAAATACTGAGTGAAAAAAACAATAGATGTTCATTGAGTGTGTGTGTGAGCAAATTTTGAGAAGAGAAGGCAGAAGGTTGAAGCCCAACAAGGGAGAAGAGATAACATCATGGAAACTATAGGTGCTCAAGACCTCCTTCAGCTTGTCAGCTGGGGTCAGCCTTGCTCTGGTGGAACCTACAGACATGCTCTTCTCCTGAGGATCCCGTTGTCCTGCGTGAACAGCATGTGGCCTCTTCCATGCCCAGCTGTGCTGCTCGGCCCTGTTTCAGACTGACCATCTTCATACACCTCTGCTCTCTTCTATCTTCTCATCCTGACCTTTGTCCTTCTTGGCCCACCTCTTCCCTTCTCTGCTTCCTAATCACTGCCCTTGCAGATAGAGATCTTCACTACTTTAGCCTGGGAATAATAACTTTGCTTCTCTGTTCCACCCCTCACTCTCCCTACCTTGGGTCTCAACCAAGTAAATTTCTAAGTCTTGGCACATAAATCATGGGAAACAGGGTCCTAAATATGTTCTCTCAGAAATAGGTTCATAGGCAGAACGCTGTGGCCCTCTTATGAATAACCAAGTTGACCCATTGAACAGTGGTCTTTAATCTTTGTCATAAAACTCTTTGGAGAATCTGATGAAAGACCTACACTGTCCAATATGGTAGCCACTAGCCAGATGTGGCTACTGAGCACTTGAAATGTAGCTAGTCTGAATTGTAATGTGTTGTTGTAAGCATAAAACACCCAGTAAATTTGAAGACTTAGTATGAAAAAAAAATGAAAGCTATCTAAAAAATTTTATATATTGATTACATATTGAATTGGTAACATCTTAGATATATTGGATTATATAAAATATATCATTTAATTATGTAATTATATATTTGTTATGTAATATATTAAAAATCTATTTCACTTGTATGTTTTTACTTTTCTGAATGTGGCTACTAGAAAATGTAATAGGACATGTGGCTAGCATTATGTATCTACTGGATAGTGCTGCCCTAGACCCTTTTTCCAGAAACATTCCCATGCACCCTACTTACCTAATTTTGCATATAATTTCAGGGACTCTTGCAACTGCCCTAAATCCCATCCATGGACCCTAGCCCCAAATTAAAAATCTCTGAGTCAGTAATTTCATGGTTTTCCCCAGGCCCAGCATCAACCACATCACCCATAGACAGAAGGGGAAACTGAGGGCCAAGTCCTCCTCCCAACCCAACCAGCTGAGCCCAGGGGCTCTGTTTTGGAGGACTGGGGATGGTACCTGGCCCTCTCATGTTGGTGTGGAGGCCTGGGGCTGAGAGTCACGTAGTAGGGGATGATGCCACAGCTCCACCTCTCTAAGTTACCCAAGGGGTGCTCACATTAGTTTGGAGAGAAAATGTTAATTTACACCCCAGGAGGACTCATTTTCTTAAGACTCCTGAGGTCCAGGAGTGCCCTGAGTCTGGCCCAAACTACTGAAGCCATGAATAATGAGGACAGTTTTTGTGCATAGGCTCCAGGTCAAGCTGAGCCCAGTCGGGGGGTGGGGTGGGGGAATGGTGCATATGCTTCCAGTCCAGAGAAGTCCAAGTAGAAACTGAGCTCTGCCACTTACCTGTTGGGTGACTTTGTACATCGCTGTATTTATGACTCACTTTGTAATAAGTTAAAGGAGCTCTGGTGGTGCACTGCCTAAGGCATTTAACTTCTAACCAGAAGTTTGGTGGTTCAAACCCACCACCATTCTGTGGAAGGAAAGAAGGAAGTCTGGGCAATCTACTTCTGTAAAGGTTTATTGCCTCAGAACCCAATGGGGATCACTATGAATTGAAATAAATTCGATAGCAGTGGGTTTGTTTTTTTTGGTTTTGTGATAAGTCGTTCTTTGCAGTTTTCTACATTTTATATTTACTGTTGTTTTTTTTTATGTAAACCTGGTTCATGCAAATTAGAAATATTCATTCATTTATTTTCCACTTGTTCGTAGACCATTAGTAATTTTCTTTTTTGGCCAATTCTGCAATAAGACATTTTAGATGCATTTTTAATAATTTCACATTAATGCAATTTCATTTGCCTTGCAAAATAAGCCATTATTGTTCAATTAGATAGTGAATTTATGTCATTTTAGGACAGATTTAATGCTATTGTGCACACTGAATAGTTTAAACAGTTAAGTGATGTCATGAAGTTTTGTTCTACAGAATTATTACTCTAAAAATTTCCTGACTGCTCCCTTTCACCCTATCATAAAGCTTGCCATTTGATTCTAACAGAAACTCTCTAAACTCCTAGGGAAGTTCCTGACTAGTGCAAATGGTTAATGCTAATGGAAGGGTTGGAGGTGAGTCCACCCAGAGGCACCTCAGAAAATAAAAGCCTAGCAACATACTTTTGGAAAAAGCAGTCAAAACTCTATGGAGCACAGTTCTACTCTGACAGATACGGGGTCTCCATGAGTCAAAGTCCACAAAATGGTAACTGGTTTAACTGCCTACGACCAGCTAAACGTGCGGGTGTGAGGGTGGATGGAGTTCAGGTCATGAGGGGCCTAGAGTCTGAGTGCTGTCCAATCCCTCAGCAACTCTCAGATCTCTGTTTAGGGGCAGGTGAGGATAAAATGCTAGCACAAGACCCACCTCCATGAATGTCTGCATTACTGTAACCCAGACTTGACAGCAGGGACTGTCTAGGAGCTGTGGCCCTTTGTCTGCTTTCAGGTGTTTAGGCCTTCTTTCCTCAAAGCTGGCTGGCCTTGGACTAGGGCTGGGCTGCAATGGTTTCCTCATCTCTGCCTCACCTACCAATACTCTGTCTTCAACCTCAGGGGAACCAGCTTCCTGACACTGCTCCAGAGAAGAGTTGGCTGCAACTTCTGCCAGGTCTGGAAGGGATGCTCCACCTGTGGATCCTGGAGCCCAGCCAGATGTTTCTTGAGATGCTGGTTGGCCCAGCCTCTTGGGGAAGAAGGGAAGGTACTGGGTTGAGGGAGTGACCTGGGAGTGGAGTGCCAGCCTCTTTATACAGGATTGTGGTTCCTCTGGGACTGACAGAGTCACAGTCAGTCCCATTTCATTGAGATAGTTACTGTCACCCAGCCAGGAACAGGCATTCTTGTTGGGTGCTGAGCCTGGAGTGGAGCAGAAGAGTTGGCATGGAGAGCCTATCACTGAAGGAATCACCTGGCCATCCTTACCAGGTAATGTATTTGCCAATATGGGCACCAATCAGGGGAGGGCCTGGGGCCAGAGTTCATCCTGAGAATCTTGCCACAGCTGAAATCAGAGTGATTCTGGTCTCTGGAGTGGGCCTGGCTCTCATACCTGGGGTCTCTGCCTAGGCAGAGAGGCAGAGGATGAGAGGCAGAGGGTGAGGGTGTGTGTGCTTGGGGATATAGAGTGGATGGGGATAGAGGAGCAGAATCATAGAAGCAGGAGCCCTGAAAACACAAGTCTAGTTAGCCAGGGCCTCATTCCTCCCCTGAGTCTTAGAGACCCTTCCCCATACACACATGCTCACACACCCCTATCAGCAAACACAGGTAGCTTTGTGTCATAGAAGGAGACCACCAGGCCCACAGTCCACAACAGTGGGGCAGTAGACTGCTTAGAACTGGCTGGGGCTAAAAATTCACCCTGTGTGTCTCAGGAGCTCTGAGAGACCAATCCCATCCGAGACCAATTATTTACTGGGCCCCAATGCCCCCGGAGAAAAGACTCATTTTGGTTTATATGTTAGTTAGTTCAATAATAATAATAATATTACTTAAAAACAAATCTATGAAATTTTGGTGTCTAGATCTCAGTACAGTCTTTGTATGCTTTTACAAAGAAACAAAACCACAGGAGTCGTGAGTTCTGGCCTTAAACACCTGGGTTTGACTCTGACTCTGTCACCTACTAACTCTATGACCTTGGACACACTACTTAACATTTCTGTGCCTCAGTTTCCTAATCTGTAAATAGGGTCAAGGAACGAAGGTATTATCTTATGAGGTTGTTGGGAGACCAAATCAAATCAGAATATGTCTTATGCTTAGTACAGCACCTAGAGACATTAAGTATTCACTAAATAATAATAGGAAACTGCTTGCTGTTTTTGTTAAGCATTCTTCTAAGCATTCTACAGCTATTAACATCTTTAGACTCAGAACATTCTTTGAGATCAGTACTACTATTACTCCCGTTACAGATGAGAACCAAAACACAGAGAAGTTAAATAACTTTCTCAAGGTCAATTCAGCAAGAAAGCGGCAAGACCAGGATTAAATCCAGACAATCTGGTTCCAGACTGTGCTTCTGACATGTATACCTCCTGCCTCCTAATAGAGAATAGTCATTTTAATTATTATCACAGCCCATCCTTGGGTGCTCTATGTTAGCAATGGTCTTAGAGACAAAGGGGACCGGGTTTCACCTTAGGAAACAATACCCTGCCAGAGAACTGTGGACTTTCTAAGGGAGAGAGGTGCTCAGTGGCTGTGGGAGAAATGGGCAACCATGCTTGAACTGGAGATAGTGACTGGCTAGAAGTGGGCTACTAGGGATACTTCTTGTTGTTGTTGTTGTTTGCCGTCGAGTCGGCCCCCAAATGGCTTTGAAGCATCACCTGAGGCTGTGGACCCATGGGCACTCCCTGACTTGGCTGGAGGAGCAGGGGGAACAAGGCTGGGCCCTCCCTCATCTTGAAGTAGGGTGTTGAAGCACAACACCCTCCAGGGCTCCAGGTTCTTGGCCATCACGTTTCCTGTGAGACGCAGCTGAGGAATCTGGGTGCGGGGCCGGAAATGGAGCCAGGTGTATAAAAGAATCAATCATTAAATCTCTGCCAATGACAACTTCTGGCTTAAGGCCTACAGAGTTGAAAGTGTCACTGAAGTTAATTCCCAAGAAGCAGAGGTGGATTACCGAGTAGTAAGGTAAGCATGGGCCTACCTGTGCCATTCACTAATCTCTAGTGAACAAATTCACATGAGACAGATGCCAGCCATACCTAGAAGGAGAATCTTTGATGTGGTGAAAAAAAATGTAAAATTATTCACTATAAATTAGTAAGTAAACACAAATAAGCCTGTGCTTACCTTGAGCATTGGGTAATCCGGCACTGCCAAAAAGGAGAAACAAGGATCTACCTTGCTGGAGGGTCATGGATGCTCTGCTGGAAAGCTGACAGGAATGATGGCTGTCGAGACACAGGACAGGGAAGATGCAGGAGCCAGGGTAGGAGGGTATGGGGCAGGGGCTATAGTTATGTGTGGCTTTGCTGTGGCCCAGTCATCCCTTTAGGTTCTCTGTGGGGAGTGGAGGGTTGGGTCCTCAAAGCCATGAAGCCAGCCACTAGCAGGTAGCAATGGAGGGTCTTGGACATCTGTGCAGAGCAGACTAGTTCTTGGTGGTGTGAGCCAAGACCTCTGGAGCACATGGATAGAGGCTTGGAGAAGTGGGATTGGTTGGGAGGGTGCAAAGCAGGAACCCAGTCAGCTGCTGTCTCTCAGTCATGCAATGTCAAATACCCACCACTTAAGCACCATGCTCCCTCCCTCAGGGTGGGCACAGAGAAGAAGAAGAAAAGGGGCAGATGAGATCCTACTTAGTGTGAGTCAAACCTGGATGCAGAATCTTCTGGGTCATTCTGCCCCGGCACAGGTGTTTCCTCTCATGGGGGTACTTCTGAGGGTTCTTCATCAGGGCTGCCATATTGTATTTCAAAGTTTGCTGTTTCATACACTTGGGTGTGAGTGGTGTCATCCTGTGGCCCTGCAGAGTGCCCTCCTTGCTGGGCAGTTCCTATCATTCCCTGGTACCAGCAAAGCTCTTTCCTGATGGCAGCATCCCCTTCAACCTCCTTTCCTACAGCTCCCATATAGGCTCTTCATGTTTGGGGCCATGTACTCCATAGGTGATCCTCTTGGGCAGGGTTCATTTTAAGACAATGTTCTCTATGTGCCTTCTTTGCAGTTGGTCCATGGGAAAAATGCACCTTTGTTCTGCCTTTCACAACAGGGCTGCCCTTCCTGGGAGCTCTGGGTGCCAGACCCCAAAATGACATGTCCAGTTGGGTGGCCATGCCTTGGCCTCAGGTCCTGGCTTTCTCCACTATGTTGTACAGTCCCATCCCTGAAGGGTGGGCGTCCCACAAATTCTGCCCCCGAGAGTGTGGTCTGTCCTTCTCATGACCCCAAGATGAGTGGTGGGCAAAGGTTGTTTGGTCCCCAGGGAACTGCCCTGGATGCCTGGCAGTGGATCAACATCACCAAGTATCTGGGTAGAAGCCTCAGCACAGAGTGATGAAGGGTGTCCACAGCTGGGGGCTCTTGTAGTGGAGCAGGAGGTCTGTGCAAGAGAGTGAACAGGAGGGACTCAGTCTGTTCATATTTCTCTCCAGAAGGCTTCTGCCTGCTGGCAGCTCACCGTGAAAGTCCTGGAGGCACGGAACCTACCCTGGGCTGACCTTTGTGAGTAATTGTCTCCTGGGCTCCAGGAGGGATGTAGAGGTGACCGGAACCCATGGTAAAGGGCCAGACAAGTACCTTGGGACCAGCCTGGGCTGCCTACGTAGCCACTGGGGTCTTGGCAGGAAACTGGAGAGGCCCCTGGAGAGGGATGTGGAAAGTTCTCTCTCACCACTGTTCTCTTGACTGGCAGTGAGCAAGGCTGACCCATATGTGATCCTGCAGCTGCCCACTGTACCTGGAACAACGTTTAAGACCAAGACGGTCACCAATTCCAACCACCCTGTATGGAATGAGACTTTCACCTTCAGAATCCAGAGTCAGGTCAAGGTAAAGACCAGGGTATCCGTGACCACCCACCTGAGGACAGATTGTACCTCTCACAGGGAAGTTTCTCAGTAGGGCACACCTTCCTCAAAGGCTCAGTCAGAGAAACGGTGGGAAGGAGGGTATCTTTGTGCCTTGGCCTGCATGTACAATGAAAGAATATGTGAATGTATATGGTCTTTCCACCACCTGGCTATATGGTTCACCTCTAGCTAACTTCTTCCTGTCTATGCCCATCTATCAATGGAGACAATAAGCGTCTCTTCTTGACTGAGTTGTTGTGAGGTTAAATGAGGGAATGGAAGAAAGACTCCTAGTACAGTGCCTGTCACCAGAGGCATATCTAAGGTATGGCAGGTATGGTGCATGCGCTGGGTGCCAGTGGAGGGGTAATGGTGCCAATGAGCAGTTTCTGTTACCCATTGCAGTTTCCATTGCCAGCTGTAAGAGATCATTCAGCAATTTAAAAATAATTGCTGAATCTGCTTTGTAAAATTTCACCCAAATCACAATAAAAAGTTGAAGAAGAAGAAGAAAAACAATTGCCATAGGAGCTGTCTTCCATAAATAAGCTTCTCCCTGGGATGTAGAATGCCTCAGGGAACCAGAAAATCCAAGGAGAGAGGGAAAAAGGAAGGGGAAATTCTTTGAGAGAATTTTAATTTTGATTAAAACACCAAAAATTAGAAGGGGAAATTTAGGAACTTTGCCAGATTTCCTTATACATCTTTTTACAGTCATTTTAAATTCGAAGCACAAAGAATGGAGGCCTCTTTCTGGCCCTGGGCATCAAGTGGGGTTTAACAGATGTGCACTATTATTGCTATGAGGAGATAATGTGCTGTTACTGTCCTTGAATCTCTAGAACATTCTGGAGCTGAGCATCTATGATGAAGACTCAGTTAAAAACGATGATCTCTTCGTCAAGTTTCTCTATGATGTCTCAGAAGTCCTCCCTGGCAAGCTGCTGCGGAAGACCTTCTCCTGGAGTCCCCAGGTGGGTGGGGAAGTTCCCCCGGGCTCCCGCCTCTCCCAGTTCCTGGATGAGGAAGTTACTCAGTTTCTCCCATCTGTTGGCATGCTTCTGGGTCTAACTCATTCACAGAAAGATGGAAACCCCTCCCAGTGATATTTGTATTTTAATAGGAAGACAGAAGGCTTGACTTTGTCTCTATGGACTGAATCACTCCGTGGAGGAATTTTAGTCATCGGTGGGAGGGAGGTATTGGGTAGTAGAAAACTTCCTGATGCCTCTCAAAATGCAATTCATTTTAACCAACCCTTGGGGGCCATTGTGGGCTCCATCACTCCTGATCCCTGCCCCTGCTTCTCTTATGGTGCCCCCAAACCAAACTCCCTATCACCTAGTTGATTCCAACTCATAGGCACCCTATAGGACAGAGTAGAACTGCCCCATAGAGTTCCCAGGGCTATACATCTTTACAGAAGCAAACTGATACATCATTCTCCTGCAGAGTGGCTGGTGGGTTTGAACTGCAGACCCTTTGGTGAGCAGCCGAGCTCTTTAACCACGGTGCTACCAGGGCTCCTCTTCATGGTGTCCAAGTCCTGCTTTATGAAGATCTCTATGTTCTCTATCCAGGAGGGTGAAACCCATAGAGTGGGGTGGGCCAAGCTCTGGGCTCTGGATCCCCCTCAAGAGGAAGAGGAAATAGTTGCTGATCATCCTTCAGCCTCTCTCAACCTGTGCTCTTGACTTCCCCTCAGCTTTGCCCAGAGTTTTGGGACCCAGAAGGGAGGGGAAATCTGCTCTCTGCCGATTTATGAACTATGGGTGACTTGGGGAGGTGGCCCATCTTCTTTCCCTAAGCTTTAATTTCTTCATCTATGAAATGGGAATAATTGTAATACAGTGTCTGCTTTAGAGGCTGCTTGAGATAATGAGACAATGCACATAAAAGAACTATCAACTCTGAAGTTTGCATGTAAACATTGATAACTTGTTTTCAACTTTGATTTCAGGTGGAGCTGGACATGGAGTTCCTAGTAGAGAAAATGTGAGTACTGTCACACAGGCAAGGAGTGTCTGGGGACCCAGGCACTATTTAGGGAATGAGCACTCTGGGCCTGATCCAGATCTCCCTGTTGGTCAGTCCAGTCAAAATTCAGTATTCCTCGTTTCCCTACCTCTGCCAGAGAAATCTACCTCAAGAAATGAGGAGAGGAAGGTCAATGTTTTCTCTGTCCTACTTAATCTCCTCCACCTGCCCTTCTTTAGAAGCAACTCATCCTCATCCTGAACCTTATGCAGGACTTAGAAGCCCTCAGCACCACCCAGGGAGTCCCCATATCAGTTTTGACTGGGAGGGGTGCAGGTCAATGCAGGAAGCATTTGCCTCTGCAAGGCCAGACTCTAGATGGTTTGATTTTTACAGGTTGGAGAGACCAGAAAACCTCATCACCAACAACGTCCTTGTGGTAACTACTTCCCCAGGCTCATGAGGGTGTGCTGAAAGGGAGTGCCTCAGAGCAGACCCTGGGGTAGAATGAGCCCAAGGGCAGCTGCCTGGGGTGTGAGCCAGATGGGGTGAGGCATGCACAGGAATTTGTGTTAAAACCACCCCTGGCCTCTCAGGTGGTCATCTGTGGCTCTGGTCAAGGGCTGTCTGGTGTGGAGGTACCTAGGCCTAATGAGAAAGGTGCTCTGGTGGCGTAGTGGATAAGGCATTTGGCTTTTAATCAGAAGGTCAGTGGTTCAAACCCACCAGCCACTCCACAGAAGAAAGATGGGGCAATCTACTTCTGTAAAGATGTATAGCCTTGGAAACTTGGTGGGAGGGGAGACAGGCTCTGCTGAGAGGATGTTCTAGCTGAGAAAACCAAAACCAAACTTATTGCCAGCGAGTTGGTCCTGACTCATAGTGATCCCTCCTTGGGATTCCAAGGCAGTGTGTCTACCGAAGTAGATTGCCCAATCTTCCTTCTGAGGAGCAGCTGGTGAGTTTGAACCACCAGTCCTCTGCTTAGCAGTTAAATGCCTTAGGCACTGTGCCACCGGGTCTCCCAGTTGAGGAAGTATTGGAGGAAGTTTAGGTGGTCCCCAAAGTGTTTGGCCATGTGTGATGAACTCAGTTCTTAATACTGGAAGAGTGATGTCATGCAACCAGGCCCACTTTCAAGTTGTTAAGACTGAGATAACTGAGACTCAGAGTGAGTTTCCAGGGTTTTGTGCTTCTGTTCTAGGAGATCTGGGATAGGGTCAGGGAGAGTAGCATCCCTGGAGTTGATTATCAATGCCCCAGCGAGCGGGGCTGGCCAGCAAACCATCTGTCTTGCTCCTTGTCCCCTTGTCCCCACTACCCTTCCCCTGGGGGAAGCGGCTGGCCCGGCCCCTCCCCTGTGCAGGTCTGAGCACTGCGCTATAGTACCCACCCCGCCCTCCCGGCCCACCGATCGTCACAACTCCTCCCTTCTCGCTTTGGCCAAGACCTAGACCCTCCTCTCCACCCAGTGGTGGGTACCACAGTTCGCCCGCTTGGATCCTGACTGGCGGGTGACAGGTGGGGGAGTGATGAGTTACCGCACTGGGAGATGGGTGACACCAATGCCAGTGATGCCACCGCCTTGGTGCGGGCCTGGCATCACTTCGGCTCCGGCCTGCTGCTACTGTGGACCCTAAAGTCATTTTGGTGTCAGCCCCTCTGACAGTGTCAGGGAGTGCGGTCTGCACACCCTGCACTCCCCTAGTGACTCCACAGATCAGGGGGTTGATCAACTCCTCTTTGGGGCAACGGAGAGGATCCTGGTTCTCATACCTAAAACAGCAAGATCACAAAAATGCAGTGCACTAGGTGGTGGGTGGTGGGTGCTGCATTAGAAGCTTGCTACTCAAATGTGGTCCTGTAGCATTGATGTGGGAGTTCTGGATTGCAGTGAGTGAGTGAGCATTGATGTGACCTGGCGGTAAGGCCTAGGGCACAAAAGATAAAAAACAACAACAACAAGAAAAACCACTTCACTGCAGTGGTGTCAGATGCGACTCATAGTGACCCCTCCTTGGGTTTCAGAGATGGTATCACTATGGAAGTTGTTGTTGTTGTTGTTGTTGTTTGCCATTGAGTCGGCCCCGACTCATAGCGACCCCTCCTTGGGTTTCCAAGGCAGTATCACTACGGAAGTAGGAATGCCCAACCTTCCTGAAGTAGGTTGCCCCATCTTCCTTCAGAGGAGTGGCTGGAGGCACTCATTCTCAGTTCTGCAAGTGCCTGTTTGACAGGCTAGTGTTACTTTTTCAAATACACATCAATATAAATTCTTATCTATGGCAGCTGAAGGAAGTCTGGTAGCACAGTGGTTAAAGGTGTTAAAGTGCTTGGCTGCTAACCAAAAGGTCAACAGTTCGAATCCACCAGCCACTCTGTGAGGCAAAAATGAAGCGGTTTGCTTCTGTAAAGATTTACAGTCTTAGAAGCCCTATGCGGCACTTCTACTCTGTCCTAAATGGTCACTATGAAATGGAATCTACTAGATGGCAGTAGGTTTTGATTTCATGGCTGCTGTCTCTTATCTGATGGATAGATCAATAAAGTCAGCAGTTGTATAGAAGGTCAGAGTCCCTGAATGGTGCAAGAGTTAACATGCTTTACTGCTAACCAAAAGATTGGAAGCTTGAATCCATCCAGAGATGCCTTGAAGGAAAGGCCTAGTGATCTATTTCCAAAAAATCAGCCATAATACCTTATGGAGCATATACAGTTCTACTTGGACACACATGGGGTTGCCATGAGTCAGAGTCCACTCAACACAACTGGTAACTTGTATAGGAGAGGGTCAGTGGCACCCCACAACGATGCTGTGTGCTTTACAAGAAAACGCACAAAGCACAATGGGCAAGTTGCTGAAGCAGAGGGCAGCTAGGAAATATTCTAGTCACTGAAGTTTCAAATGTTCCTCTGATATCTCTTTGATATCTATTCCATCATCCTATAAGCCAGTGGTTTACATAGCACTGTTGGAGAACCATTGTAGTTGAACACATCCTCCAAATCTAGGCTACAATAGAAACATCGGAGAAAAGAAGCGTGCCTGAGAGCTGGCAGTCTTTCAGAGATTCCAGATCTTTAGCAAAGCTAGGAGGACTGGGGAGGTGGTGGAGCTGCTGTTCTCCTGGCTGCTCCAGAGCACCTGGGTTAGCCATCCAGGGCACGGATCAGAGCTGGGCTATGGGGTTTCTGCATCCAGTCCCACCCTGGGCCCCACTTCTTGTTCCGTGTGTGGTGGGTTTGGGACAGTGAGGCTCAGAGGGCTGAGGCTGAGGGGACTTCAGTGTACCCAGCAGAGCCCTCTGCCCATGATGTGGTCTGTCCCAGGCCCGAGAGCTGTCATGTCTGGATGTGCATCTGAACAGCACAGAGAACATGGCCATGGCCCAAGGTAAGACCTGCTCAGAACCAGCTCTGGGCTCTGCCTGGAACCTGCAGGTGAGAGTAGGGGGTAGGTGAGGGTAACTGGGAGAACTTCACAGGGTCATGAGCAAGCAAGGTACAGTCTGCCCTTCCTTTCTCATCCACAAAGCAACAGGTCTTCTCTGGGAGGGACGGTTCCCTGATCTGGGGGAAAGCATGTTGCGTCAGGATTGTGAGGCTCAGCAGGCTGGGGAGGGTCTCTTTTCAGAATCCAATGTACTATGGTCAAGACTTCCAGGTCTCAGCCGCGTCCAGACATTATTGTCAGTTTCCTGGGTCTGAGCTGGAGCTCTGGGCTCTTTTTTCCCTCAAACTAACAAACCCTGTATCACTCTTGCCTGCCTATTCTTTCCCCCAGATCAGGACAAATTGGAGCTGGAGCTGATGCTGAAGGGTTCATATGAGGATACAAAGACATTGACCCTGGGCACAGCCTCTGACTTCTGCTTCCACTACATGGCAGCCCAGGAGACAGAGCTGAGTGGGCGCCTCCGGGTGAGTGGGCCAATTCCAGATGCTGCAGTTGCTGCAGGCCCCTCCCTGGCCTTCCCCTGCAAGGCCTGCCCCTTTGTGGTCTTGTCAGCCTCCTTAGTTAAGCCCCACTCTCTTGCCAATAGACATCAAGGATTACAAGAAGCTGGGGTGGTAGTGGTGGTGGGGCCACTACAGCCATGTCAGTGTTTAAACCCTTCAATTTTTCCCCCAATGCTGTACTAGGCCCTGCACAGCCTGGCCCCTGTCCATCTCTGCTGCTTCATTTTGTTTCGTGTTCCGCCTTATTCACAATGCTGCAGACACACTTCTCTCTTCTTGCTTTTCCAGCATACCAAGCACTTTTTCTCTGGCTCTTCCAAGGCTGCCTACTCCTCCTTCTTCACATCTCAGCTTAAATGGTGCCTCTTCAGAGAGGCCTTCCTCGATTCCTCACCTAAAACAGACCCCATACACTCTGCCTTTGTCTACTCTATCATATCATACTGCTTATTGCCTTTATGGGGGTTCTGGTGGTGTAGTGGTTAAGGCATTTGCCTGCTAACCAGAAGGCTGGCAGTTCAAACCCACCAGCCACTCCTCAGAAAGAAGATTGGGCAAGCTACTTCTGTAGAGATACCGCTTCGGAAACTCAAAGTGGGGTCTCTATGAGTCAGACCCGATTTGATGGCAGTGAGTTTGGTTTTTTGGTTTATTGCCTTTATATAACTGACAAAGGAAACATATAAAGTAATATCAAAAAAAACAAAAAACAAAAAACCAACCCACTGCCATTGAGTCAATTACAAGTCACAGCGACCCCATAGGGTTTCTAATGCTATAGATCTTTACAAAGGCAGATTGCCTCATCTTTCTCCCAAGGAGAAGCTGGTGGGTTCAAACTTCCTACCTTTTGGTTAGGAGCCTAATTGCTTAACCATTACACCACCAGAACTTGTTATATACCAAAAAATAAAAAAAAAAACCAAACCAATTTCTATCAAATCAGTTCTGACATATAGCAACCCCCACTGTGTTTCCAAGCCAGAAAATCTTTACAGAATTAAATTGCCCCATCTTCCTTCCATGGAGCAGCTGATGGGTTTGAACAGCCAAGCTTCTGGTTAGCAGTCAAATGCTTTAGGCACTGTGCCACCAGAGCTCTTTATATAAATTAATGTGGGTTATTTAATTTAAAAAATGACCTTGCATTAAGTAAATGTTAACTATTATTATTTTAGTAATTATTAGTGACTATCAAGGAAGGACTGTGTCTGTGTGGATCACTGGGCCTAGCTACTCTGTAAGGATTTATTAAATGAATGAATGAATGAGTGAGTGAGTAAGTGAGTGAGTGAATGAATATTTTCTTCCAGAGCTCCACAGATAATGGCTGGAATTCAGACAACTCAGCTGGACACCTCACTGTTCCCCTGAGGTCCTTGACCATGGGGAAGGAGATGACCATTGATGTTCCTGCCCCAAATGTAAGTAGCCCCAACTGGATGAGCAATGCCAGGAAGAATGAGGGCAGGGGGAGTCCAACACCTGCAGGGGACAACCATGTCCCCCTCACAGCCCAGGACTTTCTGAGCAGGTTCTCTTACCTTGATTTTAGGCCCCAGGAATGAAGCTGCAGCTCAAGGCAGAGAGCTGGTAAGGGACATCTGTATCTGTAGTGTGGTGTCATGAGGAATGCTGTGGAAAATGGTCGTCTTGGGTTGGAAGTTGGAAGGTCATCTGGAAGCTCACTGTGGGCTTGGCCAGCTCGTGGCTGAGCTATGCATGTGCCTCCTGACCCCTGGATCCTTCACTGCTGCAGCCCCAACGAGTTGGATGTGCACCTTGGCTTTGACCTGTGTGCAGAGGAGCAGGCCTTCCTGAGCAGAAGGAAGCAAGTGGTGGCCAAGGCCCTGAAGCAGGCCCTGCAGCTGGAGGAGGACCTGCAGGAAGATGAGGTTTGGGGGTGCCTTAAGGGAGTGCCTGATACCTATACTCTTTCCAGACACTCCCGTCTGCAGACTAGGTAAACAAACCCAAACCAAACTCACTGCCGTCAAGTTGGTTGTGACTCATAGTGACCCCTCCTTGGGTTTCCGAGGCAGTATCTTTATGGAAGTACCATATAAAGGGAGATATGGGAATACGGGTAAGCTTTGGGGTTCTCATTCCCTTTGGGCCCCTGTTCTGGGCTCTGTCCTGAGTAGGGGCTGGGTTCTAGCTCCAACCTTGACTCTGAAAGGCTCTGTTTCCTGGAGGCAGAGAGCTGATGGAGGCAGCTACATCCTTGCCCTTTGATTTGTCTGTGTGTACTCCAGGTCCCCATTGTGGGCATCATGGCCACCGGAGGGGGTGCCCGGGCCATGACCTCACTCTATGGCCACCTGTTAGCCCTGCAAAAGCTGGGCCTCCTTGACTGTGTGACCTACTTCAGTGGTACCTCAGGCTCTACATGGTGAGGACTCTTGGAACTAGCAGAGATGACCAAGGCCCAGAGAGGGGAGGCGTGAATGCTGGAGGGACCTTCTATATGGGGATGCCACGTGGGTGTGAACAGTGTGGTCTATTGGGCATCAAGAAAGCTCTCTCAAAAGGAAGGAAACATTTACAAAATCCTTATATGAGCCTGGTGATGCAAGAGGTCCATTCTCAGACATTACTGAAGGGGTATGAGGTAGCTTATTGGATTTGAGTCTTAGCTCCACCACTTACTGGCTAAGTGAACTTGAGCAACCCATCTCCTTTGATTCTTAGTTGACTCATCTCCAAAATGGGGAGAGTAATACTGTATACTCCATAGAATTGTAGTGAGATAACCCAAGTAAAATGCTTGACAAACTTCTGACCCATAAGAGAAGCTCTAATTTGGTAATTCTTTTCCTTCTAATCCTCACAAACCCTCTCTAAGGTAGTCGCTCTTACTGTCCATACAGTATAACAAAAACCAAACCAAACTCACTGCCATCAAGTTCATTCTGACTCGTAGCGACCCCCATTGGGTTTCTGAGGTGGTAAATCTTTATGGAAGTAGATTGCTCCATCTTCCTTCTGCACAGCATCTGGTGGGTTTGAACCACGAAACTTCTGGTTAGCAGTCAAATGCCTTAGGCACTGCACCACCAGAGTCCTTCCCACACAGTATAGATGACTAAATTGAGGCTAGGAGATGCTATTTTATCTAAGGACAACATTATCTACCTATAACACCTACCCTATCCATGGAACATTTCACTGTTAGAGATTCATTCCTTTGAATCTTACAGAAATGTGATTTTCAGGAATAAGAAGAAAAGCTGTTAACGTCTAAAACCTCAGAGGGGTTTAGATGACAGCTGTTGACAGGCATCATATTAAAGGACTTCAGGATAGCCTGCAAAGTTAGGAAAAGTAAGGTCTAGAGCTGTGCTGTAGATACTCGTAGTCACTAGCCACATGTGGGTGCTGAGCACCTGTAATATGACTGGTCTAAATGGAGATGTGCTGTAAGTATAAACTATGTAGTGAACTTTGAAGACTTGATTTGAAAAAAGGAATGTAAATTATGTCAATAATTTTTCATACTGATTATGTCTTGAAATGGTAAAGATACATGGATATATTGAATAAAATAAAATACATTATTAGAATTAATTTCACCTTTTTTAAAAAATCTTTTTAATGTGGCTACTCCAAAAAAAACCAAACTCACTGCTGTTGAGTCAGATCCAACCAACTCATAGTGACCCCTCCTTGGGTTTCCAAGGTAGTATCACTACAGAAGTAGATTGCCCAATCTTCCTTCCAAGGAGTGGCTAGTGGGTTTGAACCACAAGCCTTCTGGTTAGCAGTCAAATGCCTTAGGCACTATGCCACCAAAGATCCTAGAAGATTTAAAATTATGTATATGGCTCACATTATATTTACATTGGACAGTGCTGGTCTAGAGACACGATTTCAAGAAGGGGGATTCTTGGTGGCAGGAGGCATGTATTAGGAGAGGCTTAAGGATGGTAAGGAGGAGTTACAGTGACCTGTGCTTGGCCTCAGCCTCCTGCTGACCTTGTCCTGCTACTCTCCAAGGACAATGGCCCACCTGTATGGGGACCCTGAGTGGTCGCAGCTGGACCTCGAGGGACCCATCCAACATGCCCGCAAGCATATGGCCAAGAATAAGGTGGAGGCCTTCTCCCCACAGCATCTGAGGAACTACTACCAGGAACTGAATCTACGGACTGAACAGGGCTACACTACCACCTTTGTGGACCTGTGGGCCCTCGTGCTGGAGAACATGCTGCATGGCCAGGTATGCACCTGTGCCCTGGGCTGGAGTGTGGGAGGAGGCGGAGCACCCACACTGCTGGAGGGCACGCACATGTCCTGCGGGGTGAGAGAGGCCAGCGCCAGTTGCTAAAGGATGTGGGAACCACCCTAACCATGTGTTAGGGTCTTCCCAGGTTATTCTCAGTTAATTGCCATGGAATACACATGGATTTCCAATAGCCAGGGACCAGTCAGTATCAAGGTTAGTTATGGAAATACAGCTTTTGCACTGTGTTTAAGAGTCAGTGACATTGCTAAAACCACTTTATTTTACTTATCCTGCAATTTTCTGGGGTTGGCATAGTAATGGGTGAGCTTATTTCTGGATCTCTCTTGTCCTTGGGGCTCCCAGTCTCCCTGTGTGATCAGGCCTGCACCATGACTTCTGTTCTTTTTGCTACGTAGACATGTTTCTTAGGGTTCTCTGGAGAAACAGAACCAGTGATATGGACAGATAGACAGACAGACAGATAAATATAGATACATAGATATATTGAGAGAGAGAGAGAGAGGGAGGTAGCTTGATTTTCTTCAGAGAATTGTCTCATGTGATTATGTTGTTGTCGTATACTGCTGTCGAGTCGGATCTGACTCACAGAGAACCCCTCCTTGGGTTTACAGAAGTAGATTGCCCAGTATTCCTTCTGAGGAGTGGCTGGTGGGTTTGAATTGCCAGCCTTTTGGTTAGCAGTCAAGTGCCTTAGGCGCTATGCCAGGAAAGTCCAAATTCCATACAAGGTGGCAAGCTGGAGAGATCTGCAAGCTTGTGTCCCAAGATCCACAGATCAGTGATGGGAGAATGTCAAATGAAGACTGAAAAAGAACATTCTGCCAAAATATCTATTTATAGTCTTGAGGCAGAACATACCCTAAGGAAACTCCCCTTTCAACGGATTGATTGATTATATCACATTATGGAAGGTTATTCCATTCAATTGATTGCCTTGTGGAACAGCAACTAGATTTTGGCCACACCACCGGGAATCACAGCCGACCAAGTTGACACAGAAAATTAACCATCATAGCATGAAAAACTTGAGGCCCAAGTTTGCCACAATTGACAAATGCCATCAGGGCAAAGTGGCTTGGATACTCAGGCATTCATTTATATCTCTGGGTTCTCATTGCCTTTAGAGTTTGGCCTGATGGTTCCTTACTTTCTTTGCTGCTCTTCATTGTTTTAAATAGATTTTTGTGAAAGTTTTTTAATCTCACATTTTTACTATTTTCAGTGCAGCAGGTAATCTAAATGAACAGGAATTTAAACATCATTATCAGAAATGAAGTCTACATTTCTTTTTTTAACTGAACATCTTGACTGAAAATACAATTACTAAAGTATTTTTCATTTTATTAATAGGTCCTTTGTACTCATTGAATCTATGGTTTAAATTTGTGTTCAGTTTTGAAGGCTCAATTTCATTCAGTTTTGTGTTTTAATAACTGGCTTTTCTACCAGGTGGCAGCAGTGAGCTACTGTAGAGTGGGAGAAGCCTGATTAAACAGTTCGTTTTATAAGACACTAGAAAATTCAGTTTGATCCTAGGCTATAAAGAAAAGTTTTATTTAATTATCACTTCATCCATCAGTCATGACTTATGTCATTTTAAAAAAGGCAAACCTAATTAGTTTCTCACAGTTCACAATAATAAAAATTTGAATTATTTGATATTTATGTGTTCTTAAGGATGAACAGCAATTTTAAAAATTGTCCCAATACAAAAACTTTTCAGTTTATTTATTTAGCTGCAATGATAACATTATAGATATTTGCATCTCTGGTCTAGGACATAATGAGACTCTTCTGTGACTCTAGAACTCAGTGGGAGTCCCTGGGTGGTGCAAATAGTACTGCTAACCAAAGGGTCATTGGTTCAGGGCCACCCAGAGACACCTTGGAAGAAAGACTTGGCAATCTACTTCCTCAAAATTAGCCATTGGAAACTGTTATGGATTGAATTATGTCCCCCAAAAGCGTAACCTCTACGCAGTTGTTATAATCCTATTTTGGGATGGGTTATATTTGTTATGTTAATGAGGCAGGATCTTTTGAGATATAAAAGAGGTTAAATAAGGTACTAGAGAAGAGAGAGGGTAAAGATCGATGCCATGACACATGAAGATCTTCAAGGATCCAGGAAACAGAACCTGAAGAGACCATCAGAGAGAGAAAGGCTTCCCCTAGAGCCAGTGCTCTGAATTCAAATTTTTAGCCTCCTGAAGTGTAAGAAAATAAATTTTTGTTTTTTTAAAGCCACTCACATGTGGTGTTTGTGTAATAGCAGCACTAGATAACTAAGACAGAAACACTGTGGAACAAAGTTCTACTCTGACACACATGGGGTTGCCATGAGTCAGAGATGACTTGATGGCAACTGGTGTTGGTTCTGTGCCGCTAGAATTAGGTGAGGCTCTGTATAGGCTCCCAGAAAAAGGCTAGCATGGTCCTTGCTTTCAAAGAGCTAGAGTTTTATTGAATATAAAATAAGAAATAGAAGGCAAGAAAAAAATAAATAAACTCATTCTGTAAAGTAGGAAAGAAGGAGGAAGATGAGGGGGAGGCATGGATGTTGGGAAACCATCTGGGAGGGGTTAGAACTTGAACTACGTCAAGGTGTATCCATAAGGGGCAGTCCATTCCCTGGTATAACTTACAATGGATGCTAAAAGGACATTCCTGTGTCCTTTCTTCAACTAGTACTTGTGCGTGTGTGTAAGCATGTACCTGTCCCTTTGTGTCTGAATCAGTGTCCACATCCATTCCACCACTTGACACATAAAGACAGGGCAACTTGAACCAAAATGCAGGGTACAGGGGCACTGTTGGCATTGTAGACTTTGTACATGGTGCTGCCTGGAGACAAATGGTGCATGATCAGCAATGGCATACACAGCAACCCTGTGTATGGGGCTGGTCAGAACATGGAGGTGGGAGTGGGAACTGAATGTGCACACCCCATCTATGCCCCCCAAATCCCTCTAAATGGAGAAAAGGCTCAATGGAGGGGCTGCCACCTCACCCCCAACCTGGATCCCTACCTTGCATCTGCTTGGTGGAGTTGCCACCTCAGGGGTGCTCCCAACCTCACTCAGTCCCTCATGTCCCCCTCTTCAGGAGATGCAGCAGACGCTGTCAGGGCAGAGAGAAGCACTGAAGCGAGGCCAGAACCCTCTGCCACTCTACTTGAGCCTCAATGTCAAAGAGAACAATCTGGAGACCCTCGACTTCAAGGGTACAGTCCTGGCCACTCCACCCCCAACACACACACACACACACACACACATCCTCTGGCTGCTGAGAGTCCGCAGAGAATTCAAACATGAAACTCCTTTCCAGATTGCTTATCCTCTGGAAGGGTCTTGGTTCCAAAGGGCTCAGAAGTGAGCTAAGGGGACTCTGTGCTCTGGGTGAGGATGTGGACAAGGGGCTGGGTCAGGGAGTGGTCTGTCTAGGAGTCTGCATTTGTTGCACCTGCTGAATTGATGCCTACACCTGCAGGAGGGTGACTGAGACCTGCTGGGGGCAATGTCTTGGGCCCTGATCTCGTCCCCTCACATCCCTGTCTCTCCCTTCTCCCCTGTTAGAGTGGGTCGAGTTCTCCCCCTATGAGATTGGGTTCCTGAAGTATGGTGCCTTCATCCCCTCCGAGCTCTTGGGCTCTGACTTCTTCATGGGGCGGCTAATAAGGAAGGTCCCTGAGTCCCGGATCTGCTTTCTGGAAGGTGAGGGGGTCACTCTGAAGGCCCTGGCCAGTCCTGGGCCAGGCCTCTCTGCCTGGACATGATTCCTGTAGCTCAGGTCTGGGCAGAGGCCTAGCATGAGGCAAGGGAGGGTAGGCTGTGGGGAGAAGCCATTGCAGGGGCAGTCCTCCTCCCTGCTCCCATTTTCCACCAACATCTAAGGGTAAAACCACGGGGTCTGGCCCTTCAGGTATCTGGAGTAACATTTTCTCCCTGAACTTGCTGGATCTCTGGCATGACTTCACCAGCTCTGGGGAAGCCTGGAAACAGCACATCAAGGACAAGATGAGGAACATAGGTAGGAAAGGGGACACTGAGGGATGCCTGGGTTGAGGTCTTTTCCTCTTCAGACACTGCTTGTAGAGTGGGCTGTGAGAGGGAAAGAAGGGCCAAGAACCAGGCATTCCTAGCCCTCTAAGGGACCAGTGTCTCTTTCTCTGGCCACAGAGAAGGAGCCCCCTGCCTCCTCAGGGACCTGCTCATACCTAGAGGCCTTGTGGCTACAGCCTGGAACAGCACTGGCCCAGGCTTTCAAGGGCTTCCTAAAAAATAGGCCGCTCTACCAGTGCACCTCCAACTTCCTCCAAGGCCTCCAGCTGCACCAGGACTACTGTAGGCAGAAAGACTTCTCTACCTGGGCAGGTAAGGGCCATGCCTATGTGCTCCCAGGTAATAAGGTTGGACTTCTGAGTGGGAATGGCTCAAGCTAGGAACTTAGAGAGGGCTTGGAGGTCACAGGATCCACTTCTGGGGTATGGCTAGAGAAGAATCCATTTGAAAGTCTTGGGGGGAGGGGTATGTAGCAGTTGCATCAGGGAGGGTAACCAGAAGCAAGAGAGGGATGTGGATGCATTTGTGGTGTCAAGAGGGCAGAGTGGACAATTGGTGGCAGAGTGGCTGCCCCTGACTATGGCTGCCTCCCCCATCAGACTGCCAGCTGGACTGTACCCCTGGTCAGCTGACCCCACAGGAGCCTCAGCTCTGCCTGGTGGACACCGGCTATTTCATCAACACCAGCTGTCCTTCTATGTTCAGATCAGGCCGCAGGCTGGACCTCATCCTCTCCTTTGACTATTCCTTATCCTCACCCTTTGAGGTACTTATGACTACCCCAAGGCTGCCATGGAAACCCAAGGCCTTCTGTCAGCCAGGCTAAGCTCTAAGGACAGGTGGAAGGGCCACTTAGCCACTGGCCCAGATCTCCTGGGTCCCCAAGGGTATGGAAGTGTGACAGGCTCCTGCCAGTTTCCTCGATTGGGAAGGGGTATGATGCTAGGGCCCTGGCTCCCAGAACAGGTGAACAGGGAGAACCTCAACCCTATCCCCCTATCCTAAGAGGAGGAGTCTGAAAAGGAGCTGGGAGGAGACTCTAGGTATCTCCACACCCACCCACAGACCCATTCTAGGGCTCTCTGGGGGATAGGTCTGTAATGCAGAAGTGGGTCCCCTATTGAGATCCTCTGAGTTCTGGGGCTTGACTAATGCAGCAATAGCAATACAAATATGGTGGTGCTGGGTCTGTAGCCCACCTAAAGATTTTAATAAAAAGATATTGCAAGCCACTGGGATCCTTAGACTCCCTCCAAGGCACTATGTAGTATAACTGGGTCACAAACAGAACCAAACTAGGATGTGGTCTTGACACCAAGGGAGCCATTGTGGGTTGGAACCACCCTGGCATTTTCTAGAGCCTTGATTTGGGATGATTTGGGAGCAGCTGGGTTCTCTCTGGCCCACCCTCTCCCCAGGTACTGCAGCAGACCGAACTGTACTGCCGGGGCCAGGGCCTGCCCTTCCCCCGTGTGGAGCTGAGCCCTCAGGACCTCCACCAGCCCAGGGAGTGCTACCTCTTCTCTGACCCCAACTGCCCTGAGGCCCCTGTCCTGCTGCACTTCCCACTGGTCAACACCTCCTTCAAGGACCACTCAGCCCCAGGTGAGGCAGCCTCTCCAGTCCCTCTTAGCCAGGTAGGCACATCCTGAGCCCCTTCCAGATGCCCCTGCTATTGAGCAGAGGGAGGAGAGTCTGACCAGGACAAGGCATAAGGCTAGTCTTGGACATGGTGCCCTGGCCTCTATTGTTAATGGGCAAGGTCACTGTGCTTGTGACCTTCTGCTTCCCCTCCCTCCCTTCAGTCTGTATAACTCCATCTGGCTCCTCTGTTCTCTGGAGTGGTGTTCCAAAATCCCTGATCCAGAGGCCCAGTCTGTACCACTTCTCTAGCACCAAGTTGAAGGCTGATTCATCGGGGTTCTCCAGGCTAAACCAGCAGGAAAGAGAGGCCCTCATCCCATCTCTCTCAGATTCCCCTAAACCTACCTGGGGTTTCCATTGGCCTTTTTATCATCCTACCTCAGCCCAGGCTGGAGACAGGGACACATCAGGACCCAAAATCTAAACTCTCATCAATTTCTTCCAATCCTTTCCTCTCACCAACTGGTCAGACTTCTGTCCCTTTTTGGTGGGAAAAACAAATGTTTGCCTTTATGCATTATTCCCAGCTTCCTAGTTTCCACCATAATTCCAAGTCTTCCAACTTTGCCCTTAGCATGCTCAGCCTCATTTTGGAACTCCAAAGAACTATTTCTCTTTCAACAAAGACTGGTTCTTACAAAGCAAAAGCCCTTGCTTTTCAGTCTCTTATTTTCACCATGAGTTTTCAGAATCCATTCACTAACACAGTTGACTTCCTTATTCCATCTGTTCCCACCTTCCCCCTTCCTTTGAGATACTCTGGGGCTGCCCAAATTCTGGAAGAAGTGGGATGTCACAAGGAAATTCAGGGAGCAGTAAACAATTAAATCTCAAAATATATCATTAAGTACTTGCTGCTAACCAAAAGTCAGCAGTTCGAACCCACTAGCCACTCTGCAGAAGACCTAGCGATCTGATCCCACAAAGTTTACATTCTAGGAAACCCTATGGGGTAGTTCTACTCTGTCCTGTAGGGTCATTGTGCATCAGAATTGACTCAATGGTACCCAACAATAACACATATTTATATTTCTGCACAAAGCACACAGAGAACTGGGAGAAAGGCAAGGATCCCCTTTAGTGGGAAACAACCTTTATCTGGGCCAGACTCCAGGCTTACTTAACCCTGTCCAGTTGGGGAGGCCTCTGTGTCCTGCCCCTAACTGCCCTCCCACCCTGTGCAGGTGTCCAGCGCAGTCCTACAGAGCTCCCGGCTGGTCAAGTGGATCTCACCGGAGCTGCCTCACCCTATTCCCTATTCAATATGACATACAAGGAGGAAGACTTTGACCGTCTTCTGCACCTCAGTGAGTACAACGTGCAGAACAGCCAGGATGGCATCCTGCAGGCCTTGAGGAAGGCCCTGAAGTACCACACCTCAGGGACCAGGCCAGCAGGGGTGCAGACATGAGTCTGCCTGGGGATTCCAGGACCCTGAGGGCCCCACTGTACCTCTCCAGGGGCTGGTGGCTTAACTCAATCCACAGCCAGGCCCAGACAGGCCTTCCCTCAGCTGGAGTTTCCCTGCCTTCTCAAGCCCAGGCCACCTCTGCCACTGGTCTGACTGCTCAGGGCACTGTGTCCTACCTAAAGCTCTCATTTACAGCCATGACTGGTTTGAGAGGAGCCAGCAGTGAACTCTTCCCCTGACCAATGTGTGGCACAGTTGGTTGGACCAGACAAATATTCACACTTAATTATTTCCATGCCTGAACAGAACAGATTTAGGGTGCAAGCTTCAGGTGCTAGATAGGAAGGCTGCAGACTGACTGACTGGAGCAGTGGTTGCGGGCATCAGCGATCACAGTACGTCCTGAACACACTTGCCTCTTATCTCCCACACTCAAAGCCACACAACATGCACACTTACACATGTGCACACATGGGCACACACATGCACACTCTCACACACATGCATGCATACACACTCACACTATTGCCACCCTGGCCTCAAATTGGTGTCACAGTGAGAACTTCAGGACAGATGACCTCTCCAATGGATCCGTCTTCCCTCTGCCTATTGTGTATTTGGCTTTACTTTGATTCTTCACCTTCCACATTTTATTACAAAGTCTTATATATATGTATATATAATAATATATAAACAATGATGATGATGGTATCTCCTGGTTATTAAATTTTATTTTGTTCCAAGCATTTCACATTATTTCTCTTAACTCTCACAATCACCTAATGTGTTTGCTATTATTTTTTATCATCACTTTATCAATGATGAAACTCAGGGATGAGAAAGAAAACAGCAGCTGAAAAGTGACCTCCCGACTGCTTCTGGGCCATGGTGTCCTCCTGATGAACATAAACAGTATCACAGAACACCAGCATCAGACAGGGTCACTCAGTAATTGTGTCTGAATACAGACAAAACAAGAGCACACTGGAATCACAAAAATGACCAAACATGCCCTTTTCTAGCTAACCAGAGGGATTGCTGCTTCTTTGCTAGTTATAGCTTTGTTGTTGTTGTTGTTATGTGCCATCGAGTCAGCCCTGACTCATAGCGACCCCTCCTTGGGTTTCCGAGGCAGTATCACTACGGAAGTAGGATTGCCCAACCTTCCTTCCGAGGAGTGGCTGGTTTAGACCTGCCCTTTTCCTCTGCCTCCTAGGTAAAAATTGCTAAGAACTCAATTGTAGAATTTCCCCACTCAGGTGTGCTTTGGAAAAAAAGGCCTAGTGATCTACTACCCAAAAAATAAGCCATGGAAAACCCCATAAAGCACAGTTCTACTCTGACAGCAATGGGGTCACCACGAATTGAGGAGTGTCTGTGGAAACTGGTACTTGTACTTTGTACTGGAGAGAGAGAGGGAGAGAGGGAAGAAAAGAGGGAGCGAGGGAGCTGAAAGGAGTCCCATACAGCCCCTGGTGTGGGCTGGGCTGACGCTCCAGGCAATACCTGGTGTGTGAGGAGCTCTGATGGCCTAGTGCCTAAGGCATTTGACTGCTAACCGAAAGGTTGGCAGTTCAAACCCACCAGCCACACCACAGAAGGAAGACTGGGCAATCTACTTTAAGATTTACTGCCTTGCATATGAGTTGAACATTTACCTGAGGTAGATGCACTCCTTGGAGAGAACAATCATGGGAGAAAGAAGGGCTGCTTATGCACCGGGAGACAGCTCAGGGGGCAGGAGTGCATGGAGGAATGGACACAGGGAAGAGGTAACTATAGGGAGGAAGTGGGAGGGGAGCTGTTGCATTGTGGTCAATTGTAGTCAATGTCATGAGACAAAGTGTATGTGAAGTGCTGTATGGAAAGTGAATTTGCTCTGTAAACTTTCATCCAAATCACACACACACACACACAAAAAAAGATTTACTGCCTCGGAAACCCAACGGGGATTGCTATGAGTTGGAATTGACTGGATGGCAGTGAGTTTTTTGTTTTTTTTTTTGAGTGTGCAAATGTGCATGAGTGTGTTTGCTTCATCTGATCCCTGAGCTGACTAGCTGCTGTTACACCCCAGGCCCTGAATTCCCCAAGGACCAGGAAGCCCTGTCAACCCTGACCTGGGTAATGACTGTGACTTGGCACCTGTCAGGTCCCCACCTAAAAGTTCCCATGTGGATTGCACAAGGCTCTTCCTGCAGACTGTAGCGCCTCCTGGGCCAGGCCCAAAGCCAGGGGCAGAATCAGGAAGGCCTGACAAACTGTCTTGTCATTAGTCCAAGACTGCACTGACACTTTGCCCATCGCTCAACATGTGGTGGCCGTAGGACTGGCAAGGAAAGAATAAAGGAAAAAGAAAAATAAAGATATTTCTTCCTGAACAAGTTGGTTTTAACTTTCAAGAAAGGTTTCACGTTACAAAACTTATACATTTTATTTAACAATTTATAGCCCAAAGGAGAATAACAATATAAAAGTAATTAACAAAAATTCACTGCTGTCCAGTCAGATTCGACTCATAGCGACCCCTCCTTGGGTTTCCAAGGCAGTATCTCTATGGAAGTAGATTGCCCAATCTTCCTTCTAAGGAGTGGCTTGTGGGTTTGAACCGCCAGCCTTCTGGTTAGCAGTCAAATGCATTAGGCACTACAGCACCAGAGCTCCCATAAAAGTAATTGCTTGATAAAATTTTTACACAAATTTGGGATTTTTGAAATATTCTCAATAAACCCAGTTTTAATTTATTATGATTTGAGTGAAAGTTTACTGAGCAAATTCATTTTCCACACAGCAGTTCATACACATTTTGTTTCATGACATTGACTATAATTCCCCACAATGTAACAGCTCTCTTCCCTCTTCTTCCCTGTAGTTACCTCTTCCCTGTGTCCTTCTTTCCTATGCATTCCTGCCTCCTGAGATATTTCCCTGTGCAAATACTGCCCTTCTGTTCTCCCGTGATTGCTTGTTCTAAGGAGTTTATTTACCTGATGTAAATGTTCACCCCTATATGCCTGATTATATATTGTTTGGCTGAAAGCCACAGGAATGAGTTCAATTCCAGACCTGAAGTGTAATTAGGGGCCATAGTCTTGGGATTCTCACCACGCTCTATCAGATAAACCCAGTTTTATGAAAAACCATTAGTAACTTAGGAATAAAAGAGAATTTATTTAAGCTGATGTAGGGTATCCATAAGAAAACAGAACAACCCTATGTGGTAGTTTAGGTTATGTGTCAGCTTGGCTGGGCCTGGTTTTGAATGGCTAGGCAGCTGGATGTAGTTATTCCCCATGGTGAGACTGGTAGTCAACTCCATGGTGGAATGTACTAGAATAGCTGAGTAGCTGCTTTAGGAATGTGGTCTGGTTCCAGTATATAAGAACCAACTTTGAGGAAGGTCTCTAGCTTTTGGCACACTTGAATCCTGAATGTAGCCCAGTCGTTGTCCAGCAGCCTGCCATGTTGTCTGCGAATCTTGGAGCTCTTAATGGACTTGAATCAATGACCTGCTGTGTGGTTTTGTAATAACGGGCCTGTGTCTTTTTACTTGTCAACCTTGGGTTTGTCAGCCTTAGCAGCCAGCAGCTGCCAGTGTGAAGAAAGCCTGCAGCTTCATAGGGCTGGAAGCAGGAGACAGAGCTGAAGCCCAAGGTCAAGGGACTTTTTCACCTAGCCCCTAGATCCTGGCACTTTGAACTCAGACTTCTAGCCTCCAAAACTGTAAGAGAATAAACTGTTTGTTAAAGCCATCCACCTGTGATATTTTCTGTTAGAGTGGCTTGAAGTAATCAAAACACCATATCATCCTAAAAGGTGAAATCTTATATTTCCTTATAGTTCAGGAACAAGGTCAGGTTGGCCACATTCTTCATCTCTTGACAATACTTTCCTGGAGCTCATTCAGTTTCTGTGGATCAGGAACCCAGGCATGACTTAGCTGGCCCTCTGTAGTCAAGGTCTTGGCCATGGCTGCAGTCATTTCAAGTCTCAACTGGAGAAGGTTCCACCTCCAACCAAGCTCACTCACATGGACACCCACAAGACTCAGTTATTCATGAACTTTTGGTCTGAGGCTGCCTTGCCATATGGACCTTGCCACAGGGCTGTGTACAACTTGGCAGCTGGCTTCATCTGAGTGAGAAAACAACAAGAACCAGAGAGGGAGAGAAGGAGGGACAGGGGATGGGAATGAAGAGAGAGAGGCACAAGACTTCTACCAGAGCCCACACAGTTCAAAGTTAAATGGGGTCTGTTGTTGTTGTTGTTATGTGCCATTGAGTTGGACCCGACTCACAGCGACCCCTCCTTGGGTTTCCGAGGCAGTATCACTATGGAAGTAGATTGCCCAATCTTCCTTCCGAGGAGTGGCTGGTGGGTTT